ACTAAGGCAGCCTTTCAATGGCTGCAGCGCTGTTCGATAACAAATATCCTCTTCTCCCACCCTACCTCGCAAGAGCAATAACAACACCCCTCTTGCAACGCTACGCCTGCAAGACCTCACTTTCTCACCTCAACACCTACTTTTGCACCCTCAACAGCAGTCAATTTGCCTTCTACCTCAATCCATATCATGTCCTTGATCTTTGCTAGTTGTATCTCAAAGCACGAGCTAAGCCCGAGAGCCCGCGTCAAGCACCTCGTCGCAGAGATGGACAAGCATGCTGCAGTCCTCCGATCCAACATTACGGACGCGGAAATCCTCACTGAAATTCGCCTTGAAAACTTGAACTCCGCCAAAGGGATCGCGGGTCGGATGCCAAAACTGGTTCAAAAAGCAAAGGATGCTGTCACCACCCTTGTTCAAGACTGTATGCTCCACGCTCCTGCATCCAATTTTTTCCGGTTACCCATCACCTTTCAGATCCAACCTTACTCGCCATCCAGAGTGCCGTCAGTACTTATGTCCCCATGGCCAGGTTGTGGGACCGGGTCAAGATGATGAGCCGTGTGCAGGCCGAGCTCAACATTTCGAGACAGCAGCTGGCCGATACCAAGAACATGCTCGCTAGCACTGAGATGAAGCTTTCGTATATGCATGGCGACCTCCATTATTCCAGAGAGACCTCTGATGATCTTCGCAAGCAACTCATAGACCTTCACAAGAAGATAAACGACATGAAAGCCGAGTCTCATACTTCACGACAAGCCTTCGATAGCCTAAACAAGCGACTCACAGACGCTCGCAAGATGACGAGCGATATGCTTCACGAGCTTCTGTCTCTCCGACAGAATGACGGCACCTTACGGCAATATCTGCACGATGCGTACAGCAGGATGAGCTACATGAACAACGGCTATATCAATTTGCAACAGACTTACAACAAGGTGCGCAAGCAACTCGAAGAAGCCAACAAGAAGATGGAAGTCACTCAAACCGAACTTGGCCACTCGCACAAGGATTCCAACTATCTACATAAACGACTCGAAGAATGTCAGAAGAAGACGAGCGTCATCCAAGCCCATACCAAGACGGAGAGCTTGACGCCTGACCAAGCTCATGAATCTGAATGCTCCGCCGACCTTCATGTGCAACTAGCTGCGATGAAGAAAGAAGTTATGAAGCTACAAGTCGACCTCCAGATTGCGCGCAGCACGCCAACAGGATCCCAAAAACCCTCCTCAGAGGAGTCAGATGGCAACGGCAGAGTTAAGATGCTCCAAAAAGAGATCCAAGTTCTGAAGAAGGAACTCAACAAGGATAAAGCAGACCTCAATCTATTGGCAGCAAAAAATAAGCTGAATGAGTGTACTGGGGGCCAGAATTGTCGTTGCCAGGGCCATTTGGAGCTGTCCCTCGCATGGGCAAAGTCCATGTATAAAGAACTAGAGGAGGACTGGAATGAAGCGTTTGTGAGTGAGAAACGGGCCTTGGAGAAAGTCAAGGAGCTGGAGACTCTGATTTCGGCCATGAAACTCGATACTCTTGACCAGGTAGACCAAAACAGCTCGGAGGCAGAGGGATTGGAGGATGGGAAGGAGATTGAGGACGGGGACAATGTGGAGGAAAGGGAGGAAAAGGATGAAGATGAAGTTGTCTTCATCCTCGAATCGGAGGCGGCTGAGGCCAGGGCTGCCCGCCTCCCGGTCAAGAACCACGAAGCCGTCCCCGGCGACGACTTCGTGGTCCCTGCACGGCCAGCGGATCCGATTGGGTCCCCAGTCCAAACTGGGGCCAAGGCAAAAGGATCCGAGGATCACGCGCGGTACCTCAGGAAGACCTTCCTGAGAGCTCTTGGCTGCGCCTAAAGGCACTGTAAGCCAGCAAGGTGATAGATGAAAAAGACGATTGATTCTCCGAGCTAAGATTTCAGAGCTGCCTTATATATGAGAGATTGTAGGCGAAGGCAATTGCCGAGTCAGCTGAGCGACTAGCCCATTTCTGCATGCATGTGTGCACGGCTTACATACCCCCCCGATTTGGCGTAGCTCAAAGATGAAATACATACATGAAGCCTTAGTTTCCTCCTAATTAGGCCAATCCTAGAGACCATAGTAATTAAAGCTGAGTAGATTCTAGAGCAATATAGCCCTAGGCTTTACCCGATTAAAGCTGAATGGGTTCTAGGACAGTGATGCCCTTGGCTTTGCTCGATTGGGAAGCAGGCGATGTGGTCAGAAGGCGTCCCTTCTTGTTATCTCGACATCAGATCTCTGCTTTAGCGCGTAGTTCTTCAAGCTAAGATCAAAAGATCAACTAGATACTTGGTTTGCGCATGTCAATCAAATCTGACTGTGTGTCTGACTGCGCGTTTGACCGTATATCTGACTGTGTGTCTAGCTGTGTGCTTGACTGTATCTGACTGTGTGTCCGACTGAGTGTCTGACGGTGTATAGAGTGTTTCGCGTTCGCAAGATGCAGTTGTTCCATCCAAGCTTCGTGCTTTTTGGCGAGTGAGCGGCTTGGTAAGACTATCTACTAGCTGTGCTGTAGTAGGGATCCATTCGACATAAACTAAATTGTCTTGAACTTTCTGAAGTAGCCAGGTTCAATTGTAACACCGCATTTATATTAGTTTTAATTTTTTAATTTTATATTAACTTTTAAAAAAAAAATTATTTATAATATTTATATAATATTACATTATAATACTATTTTTTTAACTTATAAATAACACCTACTACTATTTTATTAAATCCTTTTAATTTTATATATATACTAAGAGTTTAATAAATTAGTATTTTTTATAAACGCTTTTATAAATTAAAAATTGTACTTTTAATAATAGATTTGTATTATTTATATACTTCCGGAAAATATTCCCGGATGCGGAAAGAAATTCCTTGTCGAGGAAGGAGATAATGGTTCCGAAACGACTAAGGAGGTTAGGTCATTAAGAATCGGAGCGGGTTGGTAAATTGTCGAGGTAGAATGGGGGTAGGTGGCGATACCAAATTCTCTCAGCAGTCACCAACTCTTCAACAACTTCAGCCGCTCATAGTCCTCGATCGACACCTCGCTCTCCTAGCTCTCCGCACTTGTCTCCCTCTCCCTCTGCCCCTCCTCCTTCCCCAATTGGCTCACCGTCATACACGGCATTTGATCATCCCTTCTCCCTGCAAACCCCGATGTGAACCCCTCCCCAACCAACCCCAACAAGTTCCCGCGTACCTTGAAAGATACACATCCACGCCCAGAATCCGTAATTCCCATGCCGGCAATACTTCATTTTCTAGCTCCAGAACTTCTTCTCGTAGCATTGGGACGGACCCCTTGAGCCGCGCGTTCTTGAAGAGTACTTCTCGCCACGGGTCTCGAGGGATCGGATAAATTTTTCTTGCGTTGCCAGCATTTGTGGGTTGTGAGGCGGTTCTTCTCGAGCTGGGTTTTGCGGGTCGAGGTTGTGGGTGTGCCGTTGAAGGAGAAGTTGTGCCTAAATCTGGGACGATATGTTGCAGGTTGGCTTTTTGGACGACTTCGAAGGTCCTTTGGGGGTTTGACGTTGGCGTTGACTGTGCTTGCGTGGTAGGATGGAGGGGCAGTAGCCTGGTTTTGTGAGGTTCCCTTGGCGGTTCGACACCACTTTAATAATCTATTTAATATCTCCAGCTGTTGTGACTGTTACTGTACCCCCATAACTCCAACGGGTCGGACCCGGTCGACCGGCTATCGTGCCTCGTTCTTGGATTGCTCTAAAGGGATAGAGGATTCGCGGAATAAGCCTCCGGGATAGTGGGTGGGGGAAAGTTCGTCAGGCGGAGTGATTTGTCCGTATCCCTCAATTGAGGGATTAGGGGAGAGGGTGGAATGGCAAAGGCCGAGGGTGGCGTCGCGGTGTTGAAGTTCCAGTAGGCAAGGTATTCGTTCGGCAACAGTGGTGGGAGGTTGTTATCTCCTAGGGCTGGGAAGGTGTTGTTTGCCCAGGGATCATTGAAAAGAGTTTCCGTGGCAGGAGGTGGTCAATGAGGAATGATGAAATAACTTGTGTTTGTTAGGTGGGTGTGGTCGCTAATGGACAGTTTGGCGGTGAATTTTCTGCTAGCAACAGGTGCATACATGGGAAGTAGGAGGCCCGTGATGGACAAGAAGACGTGGACGAATTGCTGGCCAGTAGATGTGTGGTTGGTGTAGGGGCAGCGTTTCTTCAGGCTGGTGAGTAGCTAGTATTTGCTGTAACCGAGCAGCGTCGTTGCTGATCACCATGTCGATCCTTATACAGCTTACAAATCACCCTCAGAGCTCATCTCGCTCGTTATTTATGTACGATAGCCCTCCTTAGTTTTCAACTCATCGAGTACTCTCCAACTTTTTGTGTACGTCTGAAGGTTACTCGGCGACATTTGCTACGACAAAGTGGACAGGAAAGGAAATGAGGGAGCACAGGGGAGTAATGATAAGCCGTGAATTCAGGGAGGATGGCATTCTGCGCCTATTGTAGCTGGTGGAATAACAATGGTATTAACTAACAGAAACTTTAATACATCATTGCTCGAGGTAATGGGATTGTTGGAAAGGGCACGGTCCACAGGCCATATGATGCCATGGTCCATCACCGCGAATACTCATGCTATGCAATAGACTGCAACACCATGAAATCTACCACAGAGCAACCTTTGGACGTACACAAGAAGTTGGAGAGGACTCGATGAGTTGAAAACTAAGGAGGGCTATCGTACATAAATAACGAGCGAGATGAGCTCTGAGGGTGATTTGTAAGCTGTATAAGGATCGACAGGGTGATCAGCAACGACGCTGCTCGGCTACAAAACCACAATCATAGACATCAATCCCACGCAACCCTAATCAATCCTCTATCGCAACAAGCCCATTCGTTTGCCTAGTGACAGCACGCGGGAAGCAATCCGAACTTATTGTAATAACTGCAGCCGTCGAGAATTTCCGAGCAAGTGATCCTGGCAACCTCTCTGGCACTAGTCTAACCTGCGGGACTGACAGAATGACTGTCATATATATATATATATATGTATAAACAGCTAACATCCAAGCAAAGTTATGCTCAAAGATAGCCTTGTACCACGTTGATATGTATCCATATGCAAGGTTTCGCAAGGAGAGAACCGAAGGAGTGAACCTATATAATGAGTTGAGGCGTGATAAGCGGAGCTCCACACACTAATATCGTTTGTTTACCTGCTGCAGCGTGTGTATGTCAATGTTGGGAAGAAAGTCTTCTACAAAGCTAGTCCACATAAGCCAATCAACCTTCTCTGGGTGCAGTTCCACCCCGTTTACGATGCAGGAATCGCTCTTGTAGCCAACTAATCAGGCATATCACAGCAATAGTCCACAGGCGCATTTATGCAGCTCTTCGTCGACACACAGTTCCTTCTCCCAGTATTCTGAGTCAAGCAAGAACTTAGGGATCAGCTTAGTGAATATGCGCGATTCGTGCCATACGAGATGTTTATCGGGGGATTCGGTGAGGTAGATTGAAGGATCCATGAGCATTTTGTCGATGCGGCGGCCGGGGAGGCCGTGGAAGACCAGCAAGCCATAGGTAATGATGAATGAGGTTGAACTCTGGTGATTTAAGTTGAGTTTGCAAATATTTGCGCGGTTCTTCTCGGGGGCTCGGTAGCTGGCGATCACAATTGATAACCGCAAGGTGGTGAACTTGCAATAGCGCGAGAATTATGCACAACATCCAGTCTTTGTATTTGTACCAGCCTTCAGACTACATGTATTTCTCATTCAGCCACGTCGCAATATGTTCACGTACCTCCTCCGGCTTCTCATACGTGTCCCAATGGTTCGCCTCGACGATCTTGATCGTGCAATCTGGTACAAGCTGCTTTACCGGCTCCATCCTATCTGTCCTACCTACCGCATCTCCAGTACTGCTAATATAAAGACAAGGATTCTTAATCAAAAGGTTCTCCTTTGGAATCTCTTTCTCCGTCTCAAACTGGATGTTCCGCGCCATAGCCTTGTACCAACATTGCGGGCCCTCGAATCCGTCGCGGCGCATGCGGTCTATGAAGGCTTTCTTGAAGGCCGGATCTCGAGCGTAGGGTTTGAGAGGAACGTCCTGCGGCTTGGCGGTCTGTAGAAGATTCCTCGTAGCTCCACGGACGCAGAAAAACTTCTTCATAGCCTCATCCTTAGCCCCGGACTCCTCATTGCAGTGGATGAAGTGGTACAACTTCTCAACGTTGTCGAGGAGAAGTTTGGGGCCATCGTCGGCGGCGAAGACGTCCCAATACGCCAATGATGGATAGCCAAACATCTTTTCGGTCATATCCAAGGCGGCGTCCAGATCAAACGGCATGCTCGAGTCTGGCGGCATGTATGGCGCATTGAGGATAATGAGGCCAACACAACGCTCCGGACGCCAGATATACATGCGCTGAGCCATGTATGAGCCCCAGTCGTGGCCAGCAGGGACGATCTTGTCGAAGCCTTCAGAGTCCACGAGCTCGTATAGGTCATTGCTCATGCTCTTGGAGTTGTACTCCTTTGGATCGGTCGGCTTCGACGTACCAGCGTAACCCAGCATGTCTGGAATAACCAGCGGAAAGTCAAGAGGAAGAAGGGCAGGAACGATGTCTGCCCACAGATGGGCATCGTCAGGCCAGCCATGACAGAAGACGAGCGCAGGCTTCGTCGAAGAAGAGGGTTTGTGGAGGTAGTAGGTGTAAGTGTAGTTACGAGACGTCGTAAATGTCTTCTTGCTGAGTTGTTCCATAGCTGCTGTAGTGGTTAGGGTGATGCTGTAGTATGGTGAAAAGCATTCAGTGTGTTGACGCTTAGTAGATAGTGAGGGGGAGCTGTTACCGAGCGTCGCTGCCTGCTTGGCACCTTGCTGACTAACCCACTCCTTGTGTATTATAAGACCCCTAGATAGCCCTCAATTCCACCACACGGTGGTTCCTACATCGATCCTCCGCACGCCGTGACAGGAGCTCCTCTTTATCTTCTTTGTGAACTTGGCCGTCTAGCTTCCCTAGGTATCCCGAGTTATAAAGGTAATCACGCTAGACGCCTTGGTTGTCAGATTGTTCTTTCGCAAGGGGCGCCGTGATTGCGTCAGGATCGGGGCGCGTTCGAACCTAGATGCAGGGAACTCTTCGATGGGATTTTCGATAGACGCACGATATTTCCAATCAAAGCCATTTTTCAGCACATATCAACAAGGGAGCGGCTGGCTGGATTCCATTACGAGGTGTACGGCTGTCTACAGAGCTACCTAATACGTACACGCAATCCGCTTGTTCCAACTGAATGAGACCCATAGAGGTTGTCCTTTGTCTCGAGAGAAAAGAAAAAGAAAGAAACGGGGTTAGTAGAACATATAGCTGACACGCAACCCCTCCTCATATCCCAGCAGCAACCCTTTCGCCACTAAAATAAGTGGAAACTGCAGCCACTGAGACCTTGAGGGTAGCCGGATCGTCCGGCTTCGGCCGTAGGGCGTTCGAGTCGGACGCTGTTTAAGGCTTACAACAGCGGAAGGCCCGCTTCTCTTCTGCTTTTCCTCCCCTCTGTTTCCGCCTCCTACGCCCTCTCTATATAGTGATCCGTATATCAGCCATGACGGATCTTCGTAATAGCCAACGCTCTTTTGACCTGCCCGCGAGCTGTGAGACGATCAAACAACACCGCCACTCAGCAAACATAATACCGGAGGAAGCAGCTATCACAGTTGTCCGTGATAAGAGACGAGCAATTTGTCAAGAGTTTATTGTGGTGTGTTGTGTGGTAGGGAAAAGTTAACTTTTTGACTTTGTTTGGTCTGTGCACATGACCTCTATCTTCGGCTCCAGTGTTCTTTAATTTTACACCTTACCGAATTAAGACTAGACTTGCGTCCAGTGCTTCGACTTCAGTCTTCCGGCAGATCGGAACGCGAGCACGCGGTTACGCATTACCATACGAGCGGAAGAAATATCACCAAGGATTACATTTCTAGGAGCCTGTCCAGCGCATCCACTGGGCTCTCGCCCTCTCTTCCTGCTTCTGGATTCGCCTTTCGAGTTCCTTCATTTCTTCCCGTCTCGCCTTCCTGTCCTCTTCAAAGTCCTCTTTGATCCCCTCTCAGCTCCTTCTTGAGCCTAATGAACAGCTGCTGGATGCGACTCTGCTAAATTGCTCTCTACGGAGCTTGGCGTCTGCAGTCCCATCTCGGCGTTGGATCAGAGAGGTAGCGAAGGTAGCGGTGTCTAGCCTATCATAGATCTCTTCTAACGCGCATATAGGTCTTCAAGGTTATACCTTAATCTTATATTAATACCGTAAATTCTTCCAGCTTCTCGTCTATTACCACCTACCAGAAGCGGAAAGAACCTCTTAAGCAACTTTTCCAAGCTTAGCCTAGTAATTAACTCCAGTAATTTCGATGTAAGTTGTGTCTTATCCCTCCTGAAGGCCGTCCTTGATAATGAGTCCTCCAACGTGATCTGGGAAGACTGGAATAAGGCCTATGAAATTGTTGTAGAATCCACGACTCTTCCAATCGATATCAAACCATCGACGCCTCCCCAGTCCGACCCTCTACTTATAGCCTTCTCCTAGTAGTCGCCTTGGACATTTAATATAGGCAGCTTTGCAGACACCTCCGACCTAGAGAAGAATGTTGATTCTACACTTAAAAGTGAAGTGAACGATAATCTTAGGATTGGTCATCCGAACGTTTTTAACACGTTCTTTGGATAATCCTGCGGCTTCCTAATATGGCCGAGGCCATATCCAAAAGCTATAACTATGCAGAGCCGCCGCTGTTTGAAGATGTCAGCTGGCTGGGCTGGTTAGATGGTGATGAGGAGGTAGGAGTATTATAATTCTTTCGTCGCTATATCGGAAAATTTCTATTCGTAAATAAATTCGCTTTCAGTTCTTTAAAGCATCGTCGCCGCATCACAACTCCCAATAAGTCTATCTCTGGAATAGTCAGTAAGCGAAAGCTAGATGTAGGCTTTGCCTACGGCCCCAAAAATAGGCCGGAAGATAGGGACCGGCAAAGCTGTTATTGGCCTTATACCCTCGTTCCGTCCGAAATAAAGAATAATCCGCGAGAGGATAACTGTAGTTGTACTTAGCTTGACCTCTTAAGATATGCGTGGGAGATATTCAGTGCGTAAGATAACCCGCCGGTCTATTTTGGGCTTTATCTTCTACGGTTAAATTATCTGGTTATAGGACTCAACTAACTGGAAGTAGTAGGGTCTACGTTGTTCGACGTATATAAAGGCGGCTAGATGTTTGTCTCGGTGATCTTAGGATACCTATGGCTGTTTGAGGAAAAGTTAGATTTGGACCCTACTATAGTGGAGGACGGCGGAAGGTACATACACATTCAGCGGAATGGCTATGGAGAAGGTTTGCTTAGAAGAGCTTATGAAGCGACAGCTCTCCGTTACTGGTAGGGCAACTACTTGCTAGAGGAGTGTTCTAGGGGACGAATTAGGCGGTGAGCATGTGGTTAAGGATTCGTGGGAATTTGAAGAACGGCCTGAAGGTTTCTGCTTAAGGAAACGACGGAAGCCGGAGTTGAGATTGTAGCGCGATACTACCACAATGAGACCGTACGTGTCCTAGATGAGATGGACAATGTCCGCTATAATGTGCGGAAGGGGCTCAGTGACGCTGGCGGGAGGAGTCAGTTTCAATAACGACGGCTTATGCTATCTGAGCTGGTAACCAGCCGAGCCATGTCTAGTGCTTTAGGTCTAAAAAGAGGTAGGAGCCGAAGTAGAAGTCGAACAATCACGTGAAAGAGATTATCGAGGTGTTTATAGACATCGATACCGCCTCCCAAATGGCCATGCTCGGACTCTCCAGTTAAATAAGATGCTCGATTATGACGAAATCGCGTTCATCGTCAGCTCATCATGCGAAATATTGGGAAGAGTCTGCGAAAGGCAGGCAGTGGGGAAGGGGCATGACTCTATGCTCGTACGTGTTTCGCGGCCCAGACTCTTAACCCCATCACCCCACTTCCAACCTCTGTCTGGTTAACCTCTCTTCCTACGGTCCATCATACCAAGAGGATACAGCAAGGCTGCGCTCTGGACAAGCGCCACTAGAGAAAGAGAGGAAGTTCTGAGGACGATAGCGGAGTTCGCAGCTGAAAGAGAGCGTACAAACATCAACTCGAAAGTGAGCGCGCATTAATATTTCTGTTACAGCAAACGTCACCTAGATACATGATACATGACATAAGCACGATACCGACCCGACTCTTGTTCCTTCGCAGAGGAAGCGGGGAATTTAAGGATCAAAACCAAGGATGAATATTTAATGGTGCTCAGTACTCAGCCACGGGAGTATTTCCATAGGTCCTGTCTCGAGCAAATACTCGACCTACCATCACTTAATCCCGCACGCTTCGGTTGAGATCTAGCACGAGCGCCTTACATAGTCTCACTGGGAACAGGAAATTTAGGGACGACTCGGGTTGTATTAATATGCAGATAATGGCATTAAGGACGGAAGATGAGACGGATTAGTAGAACAAGAGATTTTAGTAGGTAAAACAGTAGGAGTCACAAATGTAGGACAATTCAGATAGGAAGAGATGAGATAAATCATGTACCAAGAGAGTCTCAAGGAGACAGTTTACTAACCAGGTGTATCGAGGGTAGA